GTATTCTTCCCTCTCTGGTTTCTTTCGTCTTCTTTTCTGTGAAGTGTCTTTGAATTCGTTTCTAAGGGTATTATTCTTTGTGAATTAACTGAAAGAAGCTGTGCTGAGATTCTGGTGACTCGTAGTCCTTCTGGTTCATAGAAGTTGCTACGGGGTCGGTCAGTGGTCAAGAAGGTTTTGGGTTAGATCTGGCTTCATATGTGTTGATCCTTTTGTGGTTGTACTCTGAGCCTTCGATCTGTGATATCTTTGATGTTCAGTGGTTATTTCCAAAGTTTGATGTATTAGGGTGATTTGAATGTAATAGGGTTTGTGATCTATTCGATCTGTAATCTTTCAGTCTGTATTTTGTATAACAGATTCATATGAAAAGCCACGTGAAGCCTGAAGGAGAGGGAAAATCTGAAAATGGAATTGGAATGGAGTTGGACAAGTGAAATTGCAATAAGTGGGCTTGTGCTATTGGGTTCATTTACCGATTAAAAAAATGTTTTGGTAAAACAAAAGAAAAAAGAAAGAAAAGAAATTTTTTGTGGGGTCAATTAACAGAGTTATTTTGAGCACAGAAAACTAAAGATTCGAAAAACTGTAGTTACACAGACCCGAAACATCACTAGAAAATATAACTTAAACATGCATCGATCGGATCTGACCACCACATAAATAAATGTTAATACAAGTAAAATTGTCAAATTAATTTCATAAATTTGTATGTTCTAATTTTATTATTATTTTTTGCGATAATTATTCTTTCATTCGTGTCATTACTGTTAGTGCCATCATAATTTCCAAACATTCCACACAATTTTTATGATCAATTTCGTAACAATTAAAGATACCTAATTATTGTTCAATTAAGACCTTCTAAATATTTTTTACTTTAACTTTAGACTCCGTTAAATATTTCCAAATTATGAAAGAATAAATTATATTCTAAAGGTTTGAAGTACAATTCTCTCCAACGCTAAAATATAAAAATGAAAATTGATCTCATGGACATCATGTCAATTGGAAAATGACAAGTGTAATAGTAACTTTTGGTTTTTGTGTTTTCCAATTGCTTTAGCTAGAAAGAGAAGAAGAATTAATTTGTTTATATTAAAAATTTAAACTCATCCAACGATGTCTCCAACTCAAACAATATCATGAAAAACCTCTTTAAACATAAACCCTAGACAATATTGTTGAGCAAATGAAACTTGCATATATTTTTCACCATCGATTGCATTTTTTAAGAAAAATCACATAGATGTTCATTTACGAAAAACAAGTCCAACTCATAATCATAAAAGTTTAAACTTTATTAACGTTTTATTACATAGATCCGTATTTATTAGCTTCTAAGAGCTCCATTTTATTATCAAGTTCATCACATAGATGAATAAAAGAGTAACACAACTTCTTAACCAAAGGGCCTTTGGTTGTAACAATCCAAATTAGGGCCATAGCCAACTCCAAGTAAGTCACAGTATCTCTTGTAGAAACCAATTCTGTCTTCCACTTGTGGGTTCGAACCTTTACCACATTCAACTCCACCATTGATGATGTTGGTAACGACACCGTAACCAGGCACTCGACCGGCAGCTGTGTCTGCGGCCGAGGGTGTCCATCTCCCACTGATTGCATCGTGGCACGAGGGCTTTGGCGTTTGTGGTGTCATCCAAAACCAGAATGCAGTTTTGAATGAAATAGTTGGGTCATTTGCAACTGCATCTGGGTTGCCTAGCAGATCAACCCCTATGGCTTTTCCCGCTGGACCATAATTGTAGTTGCTGCAACACATGATTCAAGAAATTAAGAAGTGCCAGTTATTTTGAGTACATACGTGGCCGTTATTTTCAGCTGAGCGATACTAAAAGAATTATGGCATGTTATATAAGCAGTATTGAATAACGTTGTAAAGATCTTATCGAGTGGTGGCTGGTACTAAGTGATAAACATGTTTTGTGTTTTACATGATGCTTACTAGGAAATCTGGATGGGCCCTCGACCGAAGTACTTTTTACCAGGAGCACATGGCCATTGCTGGCTTGCCACACAATAATCTGGTGGATTGCCTTGTTCTTGCTTAAAACAATATCCCCATGAATATGGACCATCAGGAGCAGAAGCCCATCCGCCTGAGTAATTCCAAGAACAAATTAGTAAAATATTGTTTTGAACACGAATGGTACGTTTCTTACAATGTTTAGAGATAGTCCACTTACAAAACATGCATGTATATGCAGGATTTAAATATAACCTGTAGTTTCATGAGAAGTTTGAGCCAAGAAGGCAGCAATTTCTCGTTTTCGAGTATCAGTATCGCCTGTAGTTCCAAAAGCTCCAAAGGAGTTAGCAGCAGCTATGAAAGCTTCATAAGTGTAAAAACCATTTGCAGGGCAATTTCCATCATTGCGATGCTTCAACATTTGATCGAAAAGGGATTTGCTTATAATCGAACCCACCCCTCCTTGAGCCAATGCACCCATAAGGGATGAGACACAAAATAAAACAAAAACCAAAGTCTTCATTTTGTTACCAAATGTAATAATTTCTCGAGTTGTGAGTTCAAGTGTAGGGAAATTTAGGGTTTATATAAGGGAGAGGGATTGACTTTTCCACAAAATATGATAATCTTGTTAATTAAAATCAAGGCTGCTATCACAATTTCGCGATAAGTGTTCATATGAGTCAAAAATCATGGCTCAACCATTAGAGACAAATTAGCCATAGAACCCTCTCTCTCTCATGCTCAATACTTCACTTGGCAACATGCTTGGTCAGTTGGTCTAGTCTAGAAAGGTAAATGCAGTTTTAACTAAATTTTTGACCTAGTGTGATTGGGAGTTCCTTTAGGATAAGTTTTTTTTTTCAACATTCTTATTTAGACGAACGACTCTATTTTTAATTTTAATCCAATTTCAATCCGAACCTAACACACCCTTATTCATATGTAAACTTACAAGTAACTATTTTAAACTTATTCAAACATGATGCATGACGAAAAGAAGTACGATGTGATCTCGTGTATGATAGAATAGGCTCTTTTCTTGTCTACTCATAGTCTTTTACTCTTTTAGTTGGGTTAAAGTTTCTTATCCCTTCCTTCAAAGTTCTATATTTCGCTTTCCTAGTGGTTTTAATTAAATAAAAAGAAATGAACTAGGCTAGACTAGACCATTTTTGGAGTAATAGCTTTTTTCTATGATGTTTGGCGGAAATGAATTGTTGGGTGGAAATTAATTGATGCTGTAGAAAACGGGGATAGGACAAAGTTAGGAAATAATTGAAAATAATGGTCTTGTCAATCTCATTAATTAATTGTCTTGTCAAATGTAGAGCATGTTTGATGTCCATTTTTTTCAAAAAAAAAAAAGTATTTTGAAATACTAATTTGATGGAGAATGTGTAGTTAAAAAATAAGAAAATATTTTGGGTTCGTATGTATTAATTGATGCCGTCGAAAACGGGGATAGGAAAAAGTTAGGAAATAATTGAAAATAATGGTCTTGTCAATCTCATTAATTAATTGTCTTGTCAAACGTGGAGCATGTTTGATGCCCATTTTTCTCAAAAAAAAAAAAATGTATTTTGAAATACTGATTTGATAGAGAATGTGTGGTTAAAAAATAATGAAATATTTTGGGTTCGTATGTAATATTATTTTATTAAAAATGTATGGTTAAAAAGAAGAAAGGGAAAAATATATTTTGAAAAAAATAGGAATCAAACAAAACCATAATATAAAGGGTTCGTGGTCAAAGTTATTAATTTGTATTGCAGTAGGGGTAAATTTCAACTGAAAATCAATTAATTGTCGAATCGATTTGTAATGTAAGAAGAGGTAATTCTCGAGTCTTTGCAATCATTTTAAGAAATTTCGCTATGCCTAAAAATGATACACCTAATTTATTTCTTTGACATCTTCATATACTAAAATTCACTTGGCGCGCGCACGGCTGCTAGTGCAATTTTCTACCATGTGTAATCCTGCTAGTAATATGTGTAATCAGTACTAGTCAAGTCTCGTGGATACGTAATCAAGACAAATTACTCCTATACTATCTCCTTATCTCTTGCTAGTCAAGAATTGATCATCTATGGCAACGGTCAAGTTCAAACTTAATTTTGAGTGAATTTATCTAGACATGTTTGGATTCATTTCTATTTTTATTTATAATAGTGTTGTAGACCAATTGGAAAGTTAATACAAATTCAATTTTGGAGACCAGAATCAGTTCCTTGCGCACTATACAGTAGCTTATTTATTCAATTGTCACATTAATTGGAATGCATGCTATGAAAGATAGGATTGAGTCTAACACATCAACCATTTATTGAATATCCTTATAAGAGCTACTACACAAGACGAACCTAGGTTTGGTGAGTTCACATGCAAATTGGTGGAATGGAAGAAAGTAACGAAATAGAGCAAAAAGAAAGAAATCCAGAGTTCGGGGACAAAAGTGTAAACATTCAATGGTAAATTCCAACCATAAAAATATGATTGAAGATCACATATGATCAATTGAATGCAATTGGAGGTCGAAAAAGTAAAATATAATTGAAATATTTTAACAAATCAATTTCTGGCCGAAAAAGTTATGCTCCGAAATTTTAGCCTAAACTTGAGACCCATTTTTCTGATAGCAAACGATCGAATTGGAAACATTGTACATCTAAAAGAATTGTATCCCTTTGAGTTATCTTTTCAGCACATTTTGAATCACCTCAATCGAATATCGAAAAAGAAAGTTATGACCAAAATATCGAAATCTGCCCAGAGACGAACCGACTTGAATCGGAGCGTGCACGGGGGTAATTCATGGTGCGGTGGCGGAGCCCTGTTTTCACCAACCTGAGAGCCATTTGACTCAATGGCGCGAGCGCAATAGTTATGCTTGTGCACGCGATGGCTATTTTCACGAATGAATCATTAGTTTCCTTCCATGATTTAAACTCTTTTGAATTTCAAATTGGACGCGATTTTGACATATTTTCTAGTTCTTATAAATACAAAATAAGGGATATACATTGAAAAACCCTTTATTGCCTCTTCATACACTATAATATCTTCAAATTCATCAAGAACAAGGGGTCAATTACTATACTTTGAGAGTGAAGATCAAGCCCTAGCAAATAATTAAATGTCAATTATATCAAGATTTTGAAAAATTCAACCTGGACTTGAAGATCAACATCTTTTAAATTATTTCACTATTCGGGTGATATTTTTCTATTCTTCTTCTTATAATTTATACATTAACGTGTTAGGCTAGATCCCTTTTTATATTGGATCAAGATGAACTCTATATGTTATTTATTTTTAATTCAAGACTATTAATTTAGTATTTCTTGATTAATTTCGCACACTCATTGCATTATTTAATGGTTTGATAATCAATTAGATAATTAGTTAATTGTGTAGTGTTGTGAGTCTCACAATAAGTTTAGAACGTAGAAAAATTAATATATGTGCAATAAATGTAGGAATAATATTTATCACTTGTGCAATCATATAGATAATCTAAACTTTAAAGCATTTTAATTATTCGAATTCGAGCTAGGAATAGATTTGCATCATGGTTAGGATTTATTTAATTTGTTTCGAAAAAGAAAATTTAGTATCATAACTTTATCAATTGTCAAAAACGTATGAACGAAACTAGATTACAAATTAAGAAATAATAGGCGGATTCGAAATCCAATACAATCATCCATAATTCGATAAAACCAAACTTTTACAACTTTCTCAAATTAATTTAGGATAAATCAAATAAAAATATATATATTTTGTGTTACATATTTCGAATTCCATACGAAACTAATAAACTTAAATTGAATTTATACCTTGTGGGACGATACTCTCATAATTCTATTACTTGTTAATGATTTCGTACACTTACGAGTTTCGCACGAACATGATTCAAGTGTAATTGGACTCCAAATTAGTTGGCACATCTTATATTGGGTAGGGCTGTCCGTAGGTCGGTTCGATTCGGTCCGATTCTGAAGAGACCCGAACCGACCCAAAACTTTCGAGTATTTAATAAATAGACCCGTCGGGTCCAAATATAATTATGGAACCGTTCGGGTTCGGTTCCGTTCGGGTCCATTCGGTTCCGTTCGGTTCCGTACTATAATTAAATTTTTTAATATTTACAGCAATACTACATAAATACAATTAATGACATTTCATTCGTAACTTTTACAAATTAACGTAGCCCAATTCAAAAACATATAAATAACTA